TCCCTCCTTAACTATTGTTAATAATCTGTCAAATACTACCTGTAATGTTCTTGTACCACGTTTATTTTATGTATGACATTTTGTAAACACTGATTTATCGTTTGTTTAATGACGAGAGTAAGAGACGATATCATTTTACACAATAATATAACAACGATTATTTTTAAATTGGTTCATCGTTGTCGTCACGGGTTATATGTAATTAGCTGTAATATTGTTGGCTGCTTGATCGACTATAGCACTTACAGCTGCTTTTTTTTTTCTTTTACCTAAATATGTTATAGTTAGAGAAACAGTTTAAATTGTATTTCGGTCTCACTATTGTATTTTAGTTAATTATGTAATATTATGCTTTAAAATACATAATTAAAAGGTTTAAACATTTTTTAAATACACATCATATCTTGCGTCTACTCTCAAGGATTTTACTCACGGAACGAAATTTGCCGAAGGTCTGCAGATTTCTCCCAGTGAAACTATAACATGTCTCGAGGGCAGCAATAATATGTGGTAAACAATAAGAAAGGATACACAACATCAAAAATTAACTATATGTGAAAAAGAAAAGACCTGGAATTACGAATTTAACAAAAGAAAAATCTTTAAAGATATTCTACAAAAAATTAAAAGGTATATATTTTTTATATTTACTAATTTTAATTATTTCATTGCATTGTACGTTGATGATAATAGCTAGAGTTAGTGGTATGGTAGAGAAATGGAATATAAACATTTACCTTAAAAAACTTTTGATATTCTTTTATGGGGTTTTAGAGATTATGCAAATATAATATGAAACTATAAGATGAAGAAAAGTATTTTTATACTTAAAATGAAAATCACCTTGCACTCGATTTGTAAATAGTTTGAATGCAAGCAACTAAAATAGTAAAAACACTTAATTATAATAACCTCATTCTTTATGTAAAAGATACTTGTGATCTTTAACAAAAATCTCAGAGTTACCGCGTGTATTGTTTTACAAGTGGAATTCGCGACTCGATTTCCGCAAATTGCACGAGCCCGCCTCAAAAGTGTGTATTTTGAAAAAGGAGTGACTAATATGTAATGCTTATACTAATGAGTTTAACCTTAAAGAATTCCACCGTTCTTACCATCATTTAGCAGTTAGTCTGAGGGCTTCTAACAATACTTACTGTCTACCATCAGGACTTCTTGTGGGAAGGTGAGCTTAACAAACACACTTACTGTCTACCATCAGGACTTCTTGTGGGAAGGTGAGCTTAACAAACACACTTACTGTCTACCATCAGGACTTCTTGGAGGAAGGTGAGCTTAACAAACACACTTACTGTCTACCATCAGGACTTCTTGTGGGAAGGTGAGCTTAACAAACACACTTACTGTCTACCATCAGGACTTCTTGTGGGAAGGTGAGCTTAACAAACACACTTACTGACTACCATCAGGACTTCTTGTGGGAAGGTGCGCTTAACAAACACACTTACTGTTTACCATCAGGACTTCTTGTGGGAAGGTGCGTTTAACAAACATACTTACTGTCTACCATCAGGACTTCTTGTGGGAAGGTGCGCTTAAGAAACATACTTACTGACTACCATCAGGACTTCTTGTGGGAAGGGTATTAACGTAATAAAGATATTCTTCTACCACTGAATGCTCATTAGATGCTTTTACTAGTCAATTGAAATGTGATTTTATTAACTACATCTAGAATATTTCTAGAAAAATAAACTTTTTTTAAATATAATTTGTGTCTTTGGATGCTTTTACTAGCTTAACCAGGAGAATCTTTTGAAGGGAAATAATTAAACTATATTTAAGATGAACTATTTTCAAAATAATTTTCCAATCTTCAGATAAGTCATTATAAATACATTTTAGTTGCTTCAGTAACACTAATGACAGGAACGAATGAGTTACTAGAACTTAATTAAACTAAGTCGTATTAATCTTTTTGAAAGCTGTATTGAACTCATTAATATAAAAGGTGTAATAAACTATCATGACAAAACATATGGGCTTCAGTTAAAGTAATAGGTCTGTTTGGTTGATTGTTTTTAGTACAAACCTACACAGTGGGCTATCTAAACTATGTCCGCTGCAGGGAATCGAGCCCGTGGATTTTAGCGTTGTAAGTCTGGAACATACCGCTGAGCCACAGTACAGTAATTTGTCTTCAATCGAAAAAATCCTGAGTTTAAACCGCGATGGAGGATTTTTTTTTCAAGTGTGCATTGAATTGAAAGACTTTATTAATTGTAACATTATTATACTGTAGAAGACGGATAGGAACGTCACCAAATTCTCCGTAAAGAGTAATTAATGCTAGTAATTTTCAAGTGCATGATTTCATATGATGAAGTGCCTTCACTCAACCCTTACAATATTGTAATAAATTAATTCAGTCGTGCAAGTCCCTGTGGGAACATATACCACGCGAGAGATGCTATTATAGCTAATAAAAGTCCTATTCTCAAAACTTTTTTGCCTAATACGTTTAAAAGAAATTATTCACTCAATATAAGCGTATTATGTTTTTGTTTTCACTAAACACATAGCAATAGATAAAGCTATTTCAACATTCCTAACTGCGAGTTATTTTATCTAAAAGAAATAGATATATAATAATCAACATTTGTTTTATGTTATCTTAAAAGCAGCATATACAAAAAGTCGTTTGTTATACCAAAAAAAAGTCTATTAATGTGAGACAGTGTAATAAACATCTTAGCGATAACATTTTTTCCATGGCCAATGTTAATCGTTTTGTCAAACTTTTCTCAGTAGCTTTAGGAAGAAACCCACTTTTAACGGAAAGTTAAAGTGGAAATACCTTATATATAACTAAAAGTGTCTCAATATTATAGTTGTCAAGCGCTGCAATCAAGTTTTTGAAGTTACTAATTATTTATAATTATTTAAGTGTACAAAGAGCTATACTATTACAAGTAATAAAGCGTTTATTTAATTCAGAACCAATGCCCCTCACTAAATTCCAATACCAGTACGTCAAAATTAGGAAAATTACTCTCAGGAAAAGCAGATGATTTCATAAAATTTAATCCAGAACCCAAGAGCTTCTAGGGCCCTAAGGCGATCAATGGACCCTAGCCGTAATGGTTACGCCAGTGGCGCACATTCTCTCGCTTCGCTTGATCGAATACACAAACCTCCTCCTCATTTTTAATTTGCCTCCTATACCTCTGAGAAGAATTAATAAAAAACTCAGTTGAAAAGTACAATATTCAAATATCATGAACGAATGGTTTTGGAACTTTAGTAAAATATTATAGAAACTTCTAGAAGCATTTAAGGACAAGCACTAATAAAGTGAACTCTAACTTAGAAAAAGAGACTTGCACAGTTGGATTTAATAACGTTCGACGTCATTAATCGGTATTTTGGGGTCACAAGTTTTCCTTAGCATGTTTAGTTGAATAATTGTAAACGACAATGCTTATTTAAGCTTATAGATTAATTCGAACTTTATAGAAAATTATCTTATACTTTTATGATTTTTGCCCCCAGTGGCACAGCGGTATGTCTGCGAACTTACAACGCTAGAATCCGGGTTTCGATACCCTTGGTGGGCAGAGCACAGATAGTCCATTGTGTAGCTTTGTACTTAATTTCAAACAAAAAAATGTGATTTTTTTTTGTCAAATTTGTTTGTTTGTTTGTAATTAAGCACAAAGCTACACAAAGGGCTATCTGTGTTCTGTCCACCACGGGTATCGAAACCCGGATTCTAGCGTTGTAAGTCCGTAGACATACGGCTGTGCCACTGGGTGGCATTTTTTTGTCAAATATATATTATTAAAGTGATTATTTCCTCCCACACTTTATCAAAATTCGGGACGTTATAATAAACAGAGATATTATTTAAAGTAACTATGGATTGTTTAGTATAATTGTAGGAACTTTAATAGACTTTGCAAGCCCTAAACCAATGAATTTTATGCTATTTAATTTTTCAAAACTTGACCTTTCTCCAGTGGCTCAGCGATAAGTCTGCAGGCTTACGACACCAAACATCTGGTTTTGTTACCCAGTGGTTGGCAGAGCACGAATAGTACATTCTGTAGCTTTGGGCTTAACAACAAACAACTCAACATTTTCTAAACTTTAAAATATCTGAAGCCTTTTCTGTCTTTTCAAATCTTAGAACTTATAATCAAAATACAGCATAAAGAAATCAGAGGTCTTAATCTTATCAATGCCCTTACAAGATTTTGTAAAATTAATAAGATAACTTAGTACTGCTCATTTCTCAAGTGAAAATATTTTGAGAAGTATTAAACTATCCCTGTAAGACAACTCTTCCATCCCTGGAATCATCCTAATAGCCTTCTTGTGAACCATTTTCAATAAGGTCAATATCGTTTAATTTTTATTTTTTTTTACAAGAGACCAAACCTTTGCACAGTATTCCATTTAAGTGAGGCCTAACTACAGTGATTTGCAGACACAGATAATTATTACCTATTGACTATTTATAATAAATATATCATAGATATACCGTAAAATTCTATTTGCTTCACTAATACTAGCAAGAGACTACTTTGAAGGCTTGATTGTTACTTATGCTTTTATTCCAGATTCACTTCCTGATTTCTTATGGAAGAAAAGTACCTTGGTGTTCTGATTGATCATCCCTTAGAGCCATCCAAGCAGTGTACTTTTACTAGTGGTAACAAAAATATGGTTTTAGATTGTATTTTCAAAATTATTGAATACAAATCTAAATAGGTTATGATTTGATTGTATAGGTCACTGGTTAGGCCTCATTTTGAGTATTATGTTCAATCTAGGGCTCCTTACTTTAAGAAGGATATGAATTGTTTGAATGGGTTAGAAGGAGGTCCACTAGGATGATACTTGGGATGGAAAAGTTGTCATATGATGACAGGTTAAGATCTAAAATATGAAAAGGATTTCAATTCAAGAACTCAAGCTTTTGCATGCAAAGGATACAGTAGCTAATAATGACTTTTAGGAAGTTAGAAATGCTACTAATTGTACTGTTTCTAACTTCCTGCAAGTCATTATGAGCTACTGTAACTAATAAGGCTAGAAATAATGGATTTAATTGTAATTAGTAGGTTCTGCTAAGTAACATATTTCAACCTTTAGCTTGTGCAGATGAGAAACAAGGGGGAAAGAAGAAAAACAAAAGGGGCAGGGATGGGAATGAAAAACATAAGGAGGTTATTGTTATGTGTGATTCTTTAGTATGATACATCACATGGATAGGATATTCTGTTGGGTAAATAGGAAGAAAATAGATTATATGTTATCCAGGATCAGGATGGAGGATATAAATGACAGTGAAAGTGATATAGTAAAGGGTACTAGTTGTGATATAGTCTTTGTTATGAACATCGAGGATAATGATGTAGAGGAGCTATAAAGCATTAATAATAACATTCAAAGATAATTCTGGGAATATTGCCAAGACTTAATTGTGGGTGTGAAATTATAAGTAGATTACTAGAGTATAATGGGTATACTGTGATGGATCAGTATCTGATGGTACATTTGCTGATCCATTATTCCATCTATTTTGCAAATATCTCCTGTTGCCTCAGCAGAGAAACACCCTCAAATCATCACACTGCCTCCCCCACACTTCGTGGTAGGTTTTTATATGTATTGAGATAAGTATCTTTCACCTTTCTTCCACCAGACGTACAACCTATGCTATATTTCAAATTTGGACTCATCCATCCATAACACCCTTTACCAATTATCAACAGTCCAGTTTTGTACTTTTTAGCAAATTTCAGTCTCTTGACAGCACTTGGAGATCAAAGTAAAGATTTTTTAACTGCTACATGACCAAATATTCCATTCTCGTTGAGTCTTCTTGATAATGTAGGTCTGAGCACTTTTCTGTCATTTGGTACATGGTCATTTATCTCATGCTTGAGATCAGTGGCAATCTTCCTTCTGTCCCTGAAAGCTGCATAAATGATGATACTTAACATCAGTATCAGCGAGTTTAGGTATTCTGCCTCTGCCTTTCCTGTTTTCAAATTTACCTGTCTCGGTCTCATGATCTAGAGTGTACATGACAGTGTTTGGGGAACATTTCAAGTCTGCAGCAATTTGTCAGAGAGTCCAACCAGCATCAAGTAAAGCTTTTATGTGAACTCTCTGCTATAGTGACAATTCTCTACGCTTTTTGGGGCGTGGCATAACAACAAAACTTAATAAATAGTGTCAAACACTGTTTTTATCAAAGTTTATTTGTGGAGTACTATTAAATTGATTTCTTCTGGCATATAATGGTACCATATGCTAGCTTCTTTCTGTGTAGTTAAG